ACCGAGGTGAAAAAAAACAGAAAAACCGACTGGAAATGTCTCATAGAGATCCCCAAGCTGAACTGCGCTTGCACATGCACAGAACGAAGGATATCCCTTGTAGGTATCATTGAGATGTCTCTATGAAGCTCTTTTCACTTATCACCTCACTCTGATCACTTGAAATGGAGAGTTGAGCGGAACGACCACACCACCCTGAAGCTTTTGGAATGAAATTCGTGGCCAGTAGGCGGAACCATGACCTCGTTTGCGAGCGGTGCTGCAGAAGTATTACATTCTCCACCCTTGCAGGCAGGACTACCACGTCCAAATGAGGTGTCCGAATGTCAAACGAACGCGGGACGTGCCTCTGACAAACTTACGTAAGGCGTTTCTGTACGATGTATCAACTCGAAGCGGTCACCAGCTGCGGTCAAAAGGAATGTATAAATACAACCCCTCGTACTTCTAGCGACCTGTAATAAAAAGATAATTGATAAAAAATACTAGGTAAGCGCAGTTATGAATTAATAAAAAATACTAGGTAAGCGCATTTATGTACCTGGTCCAGTCTTTGAGCTATTGTACAACCAACAAGGGCCATCAGGGTATCTTGATGTGTTGCAAATTGTACCAGACCAATGCTGAAGATTTCAAAAGATTCGTATATTCGTATTATTATTATTCGTAGATTTGTTTTCGTTTCGTATCGCTTGACAGATGAAGCAGACACAACATGAGTAGAAAGAAAACTTTACCATTTCGCTGCTTCATCCTGAGGCAGTTCAAACAACGATAGAACTTCACCGCTCTTCACATTCAGAAGGCGCACAGCGGATGCCCATTTACCTGAAGAAAACTTCAAATTTACTATTAGTGGTGAGAAAGACAGTAAATTTTCCGATTCTTTTTCGCGGGATAATTCTACTCAAGCAGGGTCCAACATCAATTGAACTCTTCAAGCATTTAGACACCCGCGCACATTCATTATTAGAGCACTTATCACATTGAATTCCCCTTTTGGCAGAAGCCCTTGCTACTAGGACAAAATAAACTTTTTGCTGTCCGTTGCATACGCTTTGCAGGCAGACCTGTGCATAGTTTGAGGCTCAGAAACACCGGTTCAGGCACCTACCATAACGAAACAAACTAGAAGCTTCACGGGAGGACTGACGTTGAAAGTGAAACTATCCCCGCCCATTACTCGAGTACGTCTCACTCAGAGTAGATTTTACAACGATAATGTTGAAAACTAGTTGTGATGATTCTCACCTGGAGCCGCTTTAGCAGCACCATAAACGGTTTCGTCAGGACGATTATTCCGTAGTACGTCAGCGATTTCCTTCGCCAATTCAACTTCTTCCATGTCATTAGCAAGACGAACAATATCCTGAAAAAAGTCAACACAAATATTGAGAGATTTGGGACATGTTGAAACAACGAAAGAAGAAGTTGCAAAATCATCTAGACTTTTCGTGCTGTCAGTAGGAGGTAGTGTAGTGGCAAATGGCACGCTTACCACACGCGTCAAATCCTGGATCGGCTCACACCCAGGCCAACCAGTTGGAAAGAAAGGGAAACAAATGATTGGAAAAAGAAAACTGTTCGAAAATACAGATGGCTCCTTTTGCCTTTTCCTCAGGTGAGCCCCATTATTTTCACAACCCCGGTCTTAGGAGCTGGTCCTCACGAATTCGCAAGCGTTCTGCCCACCGAGAACGGAAAGTGGTACCAGATTCGTCTGGGAGGTTAACAGCGCTGACTTGTACACCAACTGGCCACCGCAAGTCATTGTATAGGCCACATCGCATTCAATAAGCCACTACGATTCTGAATGGAAGTAGAATGCGTGCCGCATCCCGAAAGGGATTGACCGACTACGACTTTATCCTTTTTTCCTTCCTATAATTCATGGTTGGCAAACCCTTTAGAGGGAGATCAATTGGCAGAACCTCTTGTTACGAAATGATTGGATAAGATTCATGGACCACTACGATTCAGAATGGACAGATCAACACAGAGTGAACCATCGTGAATTTCAAGAAGTTCTGTCATCTAAGCAATCCATATGGGCACGAGAAGAACAACAGCTGCAAAAACTGTAAACCTTTCACCAAACTCACATCAGCCATGTCATTCCGTTTTCGATCCAAAGTAATCGTTGTGTAGGCAGCATGATCGGTTTCGATCATCATCAGCGTAGTTGCCGTTGGGTGAACAATCATTCGTCGTGGCGTAAATTTAAGTGGATAGGATATGTGGTTGAACGATGCTCCAAGTTTTTCAACAGCCATAATCCTGAAAATAGTCTTGATATAATCAGGTCTCTAGAGTTTTCTATTCCTAATTAGTACCTCAGGGTATTCTCCGCAATGGCGACAATACCTTCCAAGCACTGCTCCGAACTGAAACTTGACGCGGATTCCAATGTCACATAGCTCAACGGCGTAAGATGGAAGCGATTTTGGTAGTGGTATAGTAACCATGATCGGGAAGACGTGCACAAAACCTGGAACCATTAACATTCGTGACTGAATAAAAATAAGGATAACTAGTCTCTAAGAAAAGTTATAACAACTCACGGCATCTCTATTCTGACTACGCACTCTGAATACTCGAACCGGTCTCGTTCCAAGATATCTCGTACGAGTATCCATCATATCTCCAGTAACATTATCCACAGTAGTACGCAACAAACAGCCGTTCTTAATAGGAAATGATAGCGACCTTTTTCTCGATCAACACGAACGCCTAGTGCGGTAAATAGTGAAGAAACTGGCGCTGTTCCAAGGGGGGGTTCAAATATTTGTGATTCCTATCGATCTAAGGATTTGAAAGCTCCTGTGAAGCTAGTACAACCATATAGTGAACCTAGTACCATCTTGAAAGTTCGAGGCGATTTAAAGATCTAGTCAAAGCGGCTGGCGAGGCTTATACCATTTTGTAGCTTTACGAAAGTTTTCGTGCCTCATTAATGTGAGTAAAATGAAAAACAGGCTGATTAGTGGCAGATCAGAAATTCTCAACCCAGGCCGATCCGGCGGAAAAGTTGACAGCTGACACAAGAACATTCATGCGGGCTAAATCTCGCACCTGAAGCCCAATGTTAAGATGAATCGTAGACGATCCTTTATTATCCTCACTTGTCGTCTCCAGAAGAAGAAGTGATTCTGGTTGAGAAGGAAGCGCTTGCATACTGAAATAGCGAACCGTGATTTGGCCCTAACGAGATTGTTCATAACTCAACACTCAATTTTAGCTTTTAACACCAACAGTTTCTACCTGTGTGTAGTATTCTAAACTCACATTGGTTTGCTGGACACTCATGTCGTGGATCTCTATCTATGGACCCTTACCTTTCAAGAGATCCCCTGACTGAGCTCTAAAGATTCTCGCGAAAGGACTAACCTCAGTGGACTCAACGTATCTTGAGGATCCAGTGATATCACTCGCACAGTACTATCAGCTATGCCAACAGTCAGGAAACGAGAACGTAGTTCACCTTCCGGGATTTCACTGAGACTCATGCACAGCACTTCATGAGGCCACGACGTTCGCTCGGTAAATTCATTGAGCTGTCCAGTCTGTAGACAAAATGTTTAAGTAGTTTGTCTAACTAAGTACGTTCAGTCACTCACTGGATCCAGCTCGAAATACACAAGTTCTCCTCCTGCCAAGGCCACTGCCACTTGCCGCCTGAACAACATCCGAGTGAGAGAGGGATAGACAAAAAAAAAACAGAAAATAGACGGTCATGTACGAAATGATTATAAACTGACAATGTGAAACAATGATCAATAGAAGGATCATATATATATTGAATAAATAGTTAATACTAACTAATATCACTGAAGTCAGAAGCTAATGTTCACAGATTTTAAAAACCTCACAGAACGGCACTGTTCAGTCGCCAAGAAACACCAACCTGTTCATTGCACATTTCACAATCTGTCCGTTTTCCAGGGCGTCTTCCACTTCGTTCACACGACGATCGGCGCGAATATGACGGAATACCCTCTGGGTAGATCTGAACAGAGAAAAGCTGACCTTTGTTGGATTATTGAAGGATGAAGTCTCCACCGTCACCGTATCAATCCTTTTGGATACGGCACGCATTTTACTTCTATTTAGAGTTGTAGTACTTATTGAATGCGATGTGGCCTATGCAGTGAATTGCGGGAGCCGAACCTCATTTAGAAGGTTTTATTGGCCTGGGAGGCAGCCGATCCGGTATTGGTCCCCCTTACCATGCGCGCGGGTGAGCGTGTCGCTTGCCGCTACCTCGCACTACCTTTGGCGGGGGGGGAAGGGGAGGAGCGGGAGAGTTGGTTGGCCTATGCGAGAAAATCTGACTCCTTAGACAACGTGTTAGGTGTACCAGTTGCCATTACATCATTTCCGCCCCTTTTTCGGTGAACTAATGTGGAATAATGACGAACAAACGGTCGACCAAAGTGCCGTGGCTGAGATCAATTTG